ACAGTGATGTTGAAACTGCTGTATTTTGGGAATTAGTTTTATAAGTACTGTATTTAGGGAATTTTTTTTAATAACTAGCGTATTCTGGGATTTTTTCCCAACTTTTTAATATAAGTAAAAATATACATATAATTTACAATCAATTTGAAAATTAGACTAATTGGTAAGAGACTTCAGCCGCTCTCCAACGATCATGGCTCAAATCTCTCTCAAGTTTTACCTTTTCCCTTTCGTTCGGATTTTTTACTTCTCACTGATCGTACCATTTATATATCTAAGGGCGAGCTCAAGTGCTTGGTAGCTTAAATTTTTCATAAATATGTTTTTTCTTTTGTAAATCAACTATTGGGGTTGGGTCTCTAAGATTCAAACCTATAATACACATTTACGCTATCTAAGGCTTATGATCACATGTCATATCAAGAATTCATCTAAACTACTTAAGTTGTTGAGAGACTGGGGCTCGTTAATAGATATTTTACAACTTTCTTGTGCAGTCCTAATGGGCCGAGTCGTGGCGGAAACTGAATACTAAATAAGTCGGCCAAAATAACTAAACATTGACAAATTAGTCAAAATATCGTGGATGTCAATTGAGTGAGATAATTGGTCGTTCATATGCTTTGGATAAATTAGCAATTTTAGAGCAAGACAGCCCCAAAGACTTGAGAAAGGTAACACATCAAATTTAAATACGTAAAGTTGTTGAACTCGCTTCAAAGATAAAATCTCAAATTTGAATCCACAACTCTACCAGTACTACTCCCCAAGAAACACAATTTTTCACTCTACTAGTAAAATGAGATGGGAGGAAACTTAGTAAAAAGCTTGCTATAAACAAACTTTTGAGATATACAGGGAAATAGTGAATGTTTCATAATGCAATGATTAAGTTGGTGATATTTAGTTAGTTAAAGAGTCCGAAATTGAAGCTCATACTTACTACTTGATTAATTACCTTTAACATGTGCTCTAGCCAGACATACATGGTGAATTTCTGTTGGCAAAAGAAAGGGGAACAGAGAGGCAAGGAGAGGGGAGACAGGGTTGGGTTTGGCATGTGGAGGATAAGTCAGAATTGCCGTGTTGCCTTTGGCACAACTGCACAAGAGGTTAAACAGACTTTTGCATGCCCAACATAATCAACCCAATCTAGTGTAGGACACTTGCTGTACCAAACTTTTGCAACTATTGGTATCAACATGTCCCCTTTCAGACACCACTATTAACAACAACAAAAAAAAGAGGGTAAATTAAGACACCACAAAGCTAATAGATAACGTATTAAAGTAAAATGATCTTATTTTAGTGAATTTAATTGATAAAAATTATTTTATTATTTATTTTATGAGTATAAAAGTTAAATATTGATGTTATTTGTTGGATTCAAGTATAAATGTTTAGGTATTGACGTTAAATGTAATGTTTAAATATTAGTATTTATAATTTTATTTGTAATATTGACCGGCATGAACCGGCACAAACCGGTATGTGCCATCGGTTGAACCATTCCACTTGCTAAACTGGCACACTGGCATAAACCGGTTTGACAACCTTTAATCACAGTGAAATTCAGAGATCGTTTGGATGTAGGGTTTTGTTTCGAGATTTTGGCACATTTTTCGTTAAAATCTTGCGTTTGATAATAGCCCAAAAAATTCAAGAATTTTGTTCATGTAGAATTCTGAAATCATACAAATGTGGATTTTCAAAACAAACTTATGGGGTAAGCTATTCCGAAAACCCTTCCTTTTCTTCTCCCTCGGCTTTCTTCCCATTAGTTCATGGGCTCCGTCCTATTGAGACATACGATTAACCTATTTATAACCAATCCAATTTCACATAGATAACTAAACATTTATATTATCATACTTTGCTCATCTTTTCATTATCGTTACTTATTGACAACGTTATCAACAACGAAATGCACTCTCAAAATTCAAACGTAGCAATAGTTCACTAACGGGTTTCCTCTCTACTTACTACTTTACTCTTGCATCCAATTAATGGTATGAAAAAAAATCCAGAACCAAATATACATTCTTAAAGGAGGTCATAATTGCATAAAAAAATGGCAAACATATGAAATGATGATGATGAACTAATTAAGAGAGCTGTTATGGTGGTGAATATAATGCACATATTACTAGTGGGTCGGTTAGCATGCTAACCCCCTTAGGGGTTGGAAAAATGACACCCCCTAGTATATTAAATACAACTATAGAATTTAATACACACATTAAATACACATTAGGAATTAAATGTACCATATTAATTAGGAATTCTCTCACTATTAAATACACATTAGGAATTAAATACACACATTAAATACACATTAGGAATTCTCTCACTATATTTGATTTTTCCTTTTTCAGCAGTCTCCGACCACCAGACTTCCTCCGACCGCCACACTTCTCCGGTGAAAATCCCATCGGCAGACTCTCTCCGACCACCTCCAAAAAATATACCACTGCACTGATACGGTGTACCACTGTACTGGTAGATATACCACTGCACTGATAGGTTGTACCACTGTACTGGTAGATATACCACTGTACTGGTAGATATACCACTGCACTGGTAGCGATATCAGTGCACTGGTAGCAATGTCATATCTGAGTATCAGTGCAGTGGTACAAATACCAGTAAAGTGGTAATTAATATGATGTATTTGATGTTTACTTTGTATTTAATAACAGAACATTTATTATGTTTACTTTCATTAATACTAATCAATAATTAATGAAAAATTGACCAATTAAAAGGGGGTGTCAAAAAATCAACCCCTTAAGGGGTTAGCATGCTAACCCGTCCCTATTAGCTATAGTAGCTAGGAAGCCGGGCACATGGTCCACCCATCCTAATTTTCGAATCAAAACTAGCAACCATGATTGGCATGAATATATATGTGCTAAAGATCATTGATCGCCATCTATGTACAAATTAGCTAAAAAGCAGACAGCCCAAACGCTTTCTAATCTTGGCTAAAAGAAGGTACCAAGTAAACAACCAACAAACATTTGGGAATTGAAGGGGACAGGAGTGAGTGGCCTGCATGTGGGGGGGGTTTTTTTTTTCTTTGGGATTGGCCGACTGATGATTTGATCATATGGCTTCTTTTTTCTCTTCTTTCTTTGTGCAATTGCGGGGTGGTTTGGAAGTTGCGATAGTTTTATTGAGATTGTCATTATGTATGTATTGTTTACAATGCATCTTTTTTTGTTTTTTTAGCAGAAATAATATATGGATTGTTTCTGTGATGTGACAGAAACTATCACTAATTTTGAGTGATTGTTATATCTCAACTTTTAGTTGTGATTGTTGAGATAGTTGAGTTGAGATTGTTTTGTCTCAGTTTTTAGCTAATGCGACATACACAATCACACATACCAAACATTGTATTCTACAATACATCAAATTCGACAATACAAACATAATATTATACATGCATTCTCAACAATACATCTATTTAACAATCGCAACTTCCAAACGACCCCTTGCATGTAATGCAAGTACTAGAGCGATTTTAGGAGATGATGATGATGGAGCAGAGCACATAAGGCTGCGATGCAACAGAGAGAGAGTCAGAGAGTGCGGTGGCGGCCAGGTGGGGATGCAGAAGGAAAGGGTTTTGTAATTAAATGAGGGCACATGGTTGCATGTGACGAAATTGTGGGGTGTGGGAAGAACAAGAAGAGGAAGACGCTAATGGCCAAGGCAAAAAGAAAAAAAAAAAAGAAAAAAAAAGGAGGACATTTGTATTTGGAATGGAAGCATATGAGAAAATCAATTCAATTTTTAGCTAACAAATGATTTTAGTTTGGTTTGAATAAATTAAAAAAGAAAACTCGAAGTCCAAAAATGAAGTGAGAAAAGACAAGAATAAACATGAAGTCTACTATATATATTGGTGACAAAACAAATTTTTTAAGAAGATTGACTTAGTTTGAATGTCGTGGGGGTTTTATTGATTTTTTTTGTTTTTAACCGAAATCAAAATCAATAAAATGCTGAACAAATTTAAAATAAAAAAAACCAAAACTAATTAAACTTATTTGTTTGGTTTTGATTACAACCGAAAAACCCAAAATCAAACTGACAACCCTAATAAAATCACATGAAAAAAATACTTTCATCTTGGTTATAAACAAAGAAACTACTTTTTATACAACTAAAAATAAAGTTTAACTTGTATAAGAATACAAAGCGACACTAGTGTATACTTGGTCTTGCTTAAATCTTAATACTATTTAGTACTAATCCATTTGTGAGATCAATATTTTCGGCATTTTCAAAATTATTAAGGAGAAGGACATAAATTGAAGTGCTTACTTGGTCATTCTGAATATCATTTCTTACAGTTCTTGTGTCGCGTAAAAGTCTATTCATCTGTAATTATAATACAACACATCAATGTATTATCAAATTGGTACTTCTTATGTATTTATCGAGAATACTATCAAATGTTGATTGGGGATATTCTAGCTAGTCCCTAGATCCTCAACTAACATGAACTACCCATGAATAGCTTTTTGGGGGAGGAAACGAGTAATGAGCATGTTATATGTTTGGGCATTTTGTAGAGTAAAGTTGCGTAATTATAAACATAGAGGAGGAAAAAGGACAACCAAGTGGACCATTTTGTGCACATGAAAGAAGGGCAAAATCGGAATGTGGAGAAAAGGGCATAAAACGAAAGGGAAAGAAAAAAATACAAATTACCCAAGTGGAAAGTAATGCGGTTGAGGGTGCCACGTGGCAGCCAGATGTATCCACCTTGTAATTGACAGGTGGGTGGGCTTCCATCGGAGCACACGTACGTGTTAGTTATTAAATGGGTGGAGCAATAACTAACGAAGAAAGCGATATTACATTAATTCAAAGGAAATTAAAAATAAAAAACTTTTTCTTTGTGCAAAAAAAGCAGAACAACAACTAGACGGAACTCAAATTTCTAAAATTATAGTTACTTGGAAAAGTGAGATATGGCATATATAAGACAATAAAATGTATAGTTATTTAGCAAATAAAAAAAATATTATAAGCTACAATGATAAAAAAAAAAATATTATAAGCTACAAGGATTTACTAATTACTATCATCCTGTAGATCACAAGGTACTCAGTTTCATCCTCGTCCATCCCATAGCTTAAAATCAACTAGAGAGAGAGAGATGGGAGCAAGGAATTGGAGGGAAATTCAAGTAAAAGCAAAGGGACAGCAGCTATAGATAGTGTGCATTGTGAAGAACAGAGCAGAACAGAAGAGAAAGAGAGGGGATTGGGAATTCAGAAGGGAAGCACATGCGAGCCATTTTCATTTTGGGGTTTTAGACAAAGAGAAAGAGAAGCGCGGCATTTGGTAGGGCCGGAATTGCACATGGGATTGAGAAGAAAGGAGGCCCAAAGCCAAAGCCAAAGGGTTAGGCGGTGTTGTGTTTTGTGTTGTGTTCCCCTGCCGCTGCTCGTGCAGTCGTGCTAATCACTAACGACTAGTGGTAGTACTAGACAGACTGATGAATGAATTGAGAGCCCCTTTCACTCTTTTTTTGCCTTATTGTGAATTACCTTTGGACCCTACATGCCTCGCTAATTCTAGGGTTTTTCCCCCTTAAATAATCCATTCCAAACTTTCCACCCCTTATTTGGTATGTTGGATCACTCCAAGCTTTAATGGTTCCAATAAAAGACTTGTGTGATGCCCAAATACCGATTCAAAGTTCTCGTGATTTCAGTCTCATCAAAAAATTTCATTTTATGAGCACAAACAATAATCAATTTTGAGATTTAGGAATGCGGAGAATAATCAACTATTGAAATCCGTTTGCTACCTTGATATCAGAGATTTTTAGTTTCCTCATGTGTTAGAAACGTGACAGATAATTTGCTTATGAAGAGTAAGAAGTTTCAAAACTGTACAACCCAACTCCCCTAGGAAGGGCTCTAAGGCACAAGGATCATCCCTTGGACTTAGTTCACATGTTCTTTGTTTAGTTCACATTTCGGTATGTGGCAAGCAAAAGAAACGCATTCATCGGATCCTAGGTTGGGACTGACAGGGCTCGAACCTGCAGCTTCCGTCTTTATAGGGGGCGGTGCTCTGGTGGTCTGGCTTATTGAACTACAATCCCTGGATAATTATGTATACAGCCTAAAAATTCTTTTTTTTTTTGTTATTAAATTTCATTCGAACTCTTTTCACATATTTGACAGAATCTACGTGTACATGAGGATTAGTGAAAAGGCAAACAAGTTACGATAAGCAATCTAATCCTAATAAACCTTTTCACCTTGAAATGATTCACTCATCCAAACTTTTAATGTAACTTCATATTTGGAGATTGCCATTTTTGGAGGCTTGTATGACTTTGGGGTTGAGAATTATAATACCTTCCTGATTAAGTTTTAAGACAAACAAGGAGGGACGATTAGGCCCCTCCAACGCATTAGTCATTACCCTGCCCCCATGCCAACACAGAAATGCTCACTCCCCAATCCCCATTGATTAATTTAATCAAAATTACCAATAATTTATTTGTTAAAAATTTGCCTCCTTTTTCTAATACCAAATGACAAGATATATGAGTTGGCATTGCAAAGAGGAACAATGCAAGAGGAAAATGGAACAGAAATAGGGACCAAAATGAAAAAGAATTACTACATGTACAGAATGAAGAACCAATAATCAAGAAAAAGGAGGATACAAGCTGCAGAAAAATGGGGGGAAAATAAAACAGAATGGAAAACTGTTTAATCTATAATATAAATAAAACACCTGCTATTGCTAATTCCACGGAGCGGCGGCGGATTTCCGGGGTATGATTATCATTTTATTATTATTGGGCGCTAACCTCCGGACCCCGAGCAGCCCCGCCGCCGCCAGCGGCGAGAATCTCGGCGAGGGCCGCCATGGCCTTGACCTGCATCTCCAGCGCCGCGATGTAATCCCCAACTTCCTCCAACATATTCGGCAACGGCGCCTTACGGCAGCCAGGAACCAGCCGGCTCAGCGTCCGGATTCGCTTCTCCACAGCCGGCGGAGGATGCGGCGATGACGATTTATTTTTCCTCTCCACCTCCGCCGCCGCCGCAAGCAACTTCTGCTTCCGCCTATCAATCGACCTCGCCTCGCCGATCACCCGCGCTCTCCTCACCTTCCTGACTCTGGTTAGCCTCCGGCGACTCGCGAGAATCGCACGGCTCCACCGCGTCGAGCCGCGAGCGGCGACCGCCAGCACTCTATCCGCCGCGTCTCTCACCTGCGTACCGTTGGCGGAGACAGAGGAGGAGGCGGAGCTGCTCCGTCGAGAGCTCCGCAGAGCTTCGAGCAGCTTCGTGGAGTAGATCCGGTGCTCCGCCTCCGTCCTCCATCTCCTTGGTTTCTCCTCTCCGACACCGCCCCCGCCGCTGGTGGAGGCGCAATCGGAATCGTGCGCAATTTTTCTCCGTTTTCTCCTCTGCTGCTGCTGTAATTCCTCGGAAGACGCGCCGGCTGTACTAGTCGATTCGGGATTCGCGCCACCGATCGACAACAACGCCATGGATAATATTGAAAGAGAACGAATCTCCGGTCTCTTGTATCTCGCCTGAAATAAAAAATAAAAACAATCGCCGAGAACAGAGTCAATACAGCGCGAATCTAGCTATGAATCGAACTGGAAACGCAATCCACCATCTCTGCTAAATATCGAACTAGATTGTATCAGTGATTGCGAGAAAGAGATAGTGCGTGATTTACCTTCGGAAACAAAGATTGAGGAATTAGAAGAATGAATTCGACGGCGACGGCGACGGCGGTGGAGGGAAGTAGGGTGAAGAGAGGGAATGAGAGGAAATTAGAGAGGAAGAGGGAAAGAAGGGGGAGAGTAGGGGGGCTTTAAAAACAGAAAAAGGTCACGGGAAACCACGCGGCCATTCCTTAATCACATTTATTGGCGCTCTCTTTTTCCTTTCCATTTTCTATTATTAAGGAGAGGAATACTTCTCCTCTTGGTCACTGAACTTCACTACCGTCAGTAATTAAGTCCTTTTTTCAAAAAAAAAAAAAAGTAATTAAGTCCTCAAAGTCTAACCCTGTGTTTCCGAAGGAAGGAAGGAAGGGAGGAAAAGGAGGGGAGGTGAAGGAAAATTAAGAGGAGATGGGAGATTTGAAGGTGAGAGAAATTTGGAGGAAAATGTTGTTTTATGAAAGAAAGTGAGAAGGAAAGTGGGTATTGAGAAATGTGATAAATATGTTTTTTTATTGGTTATGTAATAGTAAAATAATTTGATTGTATGTTAATATTCTAGTTATGACTTGTGAATTAAATTTATATTTTCTTTCTAGGTTAAATACATTTGTATATCCAAAACTTTTACGGTTGCGCCAATAATATCCAAATTTCCCGAAATACCACTTATATCAATTCCTTCACATTCTTTAACATTGTTTTTGGATATACAAGTGTATTTAACCAAAAATATATTGGGAAATGGATAGATTTGGCAAAGAAAAACTTTAAAACATGGATATAAGTGGTATTCCGGGAAATTTGGATATACAAGTGTATTAAACCTTCTTTCTAAACTGCATAAGAGATTGTATTATAAAAATTAGTGGTACAGTATTTTGTTCTAAAATCGTGATTTAACCACGTCAATTATTTTATATAGGACCACATTATTACAGTTTGGTGTCATCCGGTCCAAACAAAATTTTATTGCATTATCACTTATACCATTAAAGTAATAACCTTGGATTGAAAAATGTAGCATACCAGTGGATCAACCTGAAAAATCTTCTATCGAAAGCTCAACCGAACAATATAGTCTGGTTTCGGTAATTTAATTATAGGTGTCCAAAATTAATCCATATTATCTCTTTAATCACAAAAATAATAAACAAACAAATACATTTTGTAATAAGCATCTTCTCCTAATATTACTCTTCTCTTGATATTACTCCTAATAATGCTGCTAAACCCACGTTAAAAGGAAGGCATAGATGATTCTGGTTATTAAAAAAAAAAAGGGAAGGCATCCATGATTTGGTCGAACTAAAGGACATGGATTATAATAAAAAAAGGAACGCGTGAAGGGAAGCCAAGTTTCCGCCCGATTTGGAGGGTCGAGCGATACAGTAGATTTTCCTTTGCTTTTCTCCCCCTCCGCACTGTTACTTTTGTTCGGAAACAACGGAAAATATTTTGGGAATTGTATTTCCCTTCCAATATCCCCCTTCCCCCATTTTCCGTCTCTCCGAAACAGAGGGTAAAACATTACGAAAGAGGGTTTTCAATTTTCATATGTGGAATTTTACAATGCTATATAGCATTAGTGTTATAGGTTTTTATTTTTATGGTACAACTTGAAATTGTACCTTTAATGTTATGGTACAACTTCAGAATTTTACCTATATTTTTTGTACAAATTTTTTTATGATACAACTTAAACTTGTACCTTTATGTGATGGTACAACTTCAAGTTGTAAAGTTGTACCATAACATAACGATACAAATTCTTTTATGGTACAACCTAAACTTATTATACATTTAATGTTATGGTACAACTTCAAGTTATACGGTAAAGCACCAATACTATATAGCATAGTAGAAGTGCTCTTTTCATATATGAGTTTGAGGACTCTAGAACTCATATTGCATCGAGTTTGACTACAAGGTAAGTCAAATTTGAACCTCGTAGAAGAATAGGGTCAATGTCATTGTACGTTTCCATGTTCATCGTTTTATACTTGATTTATCTAGCATATGTTTTTTTTTTTTTTTTTTTTTTTGCTAACAAGAATAACGGTTTATGTAGTTTACCTGAGCATTATAAATGTCACTATACTTGGAAAAGAAAGTCATTTATCATATATAAACCTAACATTTTTGTAAATAAAAAATCTATTTTATTCATCAAAATGGAGAAGTGAGGGTATCAAAGACCCAACCCTTTCATATATACTAGTTACAACCAGCTAGAGGTATTAGAGGCACACATGGATAGAGAGATATTAGAGGGAAACCAATCCTAACACATCTACCACAGTGGAATTTGAGTTGTTGCAGCTATTATCTGTGGAGAAGCTTCAATCAATGGCAAGGCTCGCCATCTACTGTATGCGATTGAGGGTAACCAACCAATAGATAATGGAGCTTCCAATTACATCCAAATTAGCTTGTATCATATCAGTACTTTATCTTGATGCAACCTAATTGTTGCTCGGACCTTCTTAATGGAGAGTTTTTTTTTTTTTTTCCATTTAAGAACCGACGAAAAGAACAATCTCTATTGCTTACGTAGTGGGAAACAACTATAACCATGAACAAGGGTGTTCTAAATCTTCCTCTGCTACATCCATGAATAAGAATCAGGGCTAGAGACATTCCAAAAGTCGACACGGTTAAGGACTTAGGGTGGTAATTTAGAATCAAACTAGCCCAAAGTGACGAGGAGCTTGAGATGATAGCCCACAAGTGTCGGATTAATTAAGCATGTTGTATTCGAACTTCGCAAATCCTTAACCCGCTCCTACTTTAGGTAGATCCAGATATTAACAAGCCACCTTCTCTTTTCCCAACTTCTTCAGTGCTACACGAGAAGTTCGAGCAGACTTTCTCTATCACTTTTGTTTACCCAATTTTTGCAAATACTGCACCCCTAATTTTATAGCAACTAAAGGAATGCCAAGGTCCGCACTAGGAGCTTTTCACCGGGGAATCCAAAACGATAAGAGATAAGTTTTCGAGTATTGAGAGCCATTCCGCACAGAAAATTTATTTTTACCCATATAACATTTTAAACAGAAAAATTTATAAAACGTATCAGGAATCTTTGTAACGACTTCTCTGACGTCTTTGGTGAAATCTACTAGTTGTCAACAAAACAAAGAGGAATGAGCTTTATCCTATGATTTCTTGGATGAGACAGGAGCACTCTAATGACAACGACCTATTAAACATAGGCAAAAAAAAGTCTTCATCAAGATAGCAAAAGAGATAAGGAGAGAAGAGTCCTCTTGTTTCAACCCTTTTTGGTGGGAAAGAAACTATATGCCCCATAAAACAACCACTCAGTCATGACACACTGTGCGAACATATTTTTTTCCCCTACTACCAATATATATACTAGGTAGAGAACGCGCGTTGCTGCGAGTTGGTCAACTAGTGGGTTGTTTAGTGATGATTCTTTATTTTATATGTATAAACATAGGTGAAAATTTAATGTTAAATTGTAAATTTAATGTTAAATTGTAGAAAATTCTAACTCGATTGGGGATGAAATGTTTAGAGAGAAGCAAAGGGAGTAAAAACTGGAACTCACCTTAAAATTCATAGTTTCACGCACAATCCACAATCGCAAACAATTGGCTAGTCCATATCAGACCAACCAAATTCAAGAATCGATCAAATATTTTAACGATAGCAAGATTTTACTTATCTCTTTAAGTTCTAATTAAATATGTACCTCCTGTAATATTTTTTAGTTGTTCAATTTATTTGAGAGAAAACATTGAACCAATGGGCACTTAAATCCGATTGATTTTTTGTGATTCAACACGCAATTCCAAACAACCGGCTAGATCATAGTCCGACAAATTTAAGAACCGATTCATTATTGTAATTGATTCACAATTTTACGGATCTCTAAATTCTATAAGAAATTCCTATCTTGTTTAATTCTAATTAAAAATTTTGATGTCTCTTTTATTTCTCCTTTTTTTTTTTGTAATACCTTGTTCTTTTTTTAAATATTATTTTTTTATGAGTGGAAACAAAACAAACAAAGGTCTACAAAAAATAGTGGATAGTCGAGATACAATCTGGGCCCCCACTCCCTTAGTTAGTTAATTACTTAGTTATAACAAAACTAAGTCTAGTAAAAATGTACGCGACTGACTGAGCCCCTACATCCTGAAACATGAAGAAAAATGGCATTAACTTTGTCCCTCCTCAAGTTTAATTTGGTGAGTAAAATGACATTAGCTTTATCTGAAAACTCTTGTGGCTTAGCCAAGAAACAATAAAAGTGGTATAGATTAGAGAAACCTTAGGATTTAGTCAGTAAAATGGCATTAGCTTTATCTGAAAACTCTTGTGGCTTAGCCAAGAAACAAAAGGAGTGGTATAGATTAGAGAATCATTAGGCAACAGTAACCCTTATTCAACTTTATATATATTAAAATATATTTGTTTTCTAATTAGAATCTTGATGAGAATGCACTTTTGATGGTTGACTGAGAAAATAAGAGATGACTAGACCAAGTGGTGAACGGGAAGATGGTTATACCAAATTCCAGCACGAATCAATTTAATCTAAGAATATATTGTTAATCTAATATATATATTTTTTTATCAAGTAATTAGCTTATTCATTCAAGGAATTCCACATATGTATATATGTCGATTGCCATACCATACATTAAAGATAGACTTTACTTATGAATTTGTATGTGGAATTAAAACTAGAAAATTCTCAAAGCCTCAAATCAACTAATGAAAGGGGAGAAAGACGAAAATCTTTGTAGCATTTTCAAGAAATCAACAAAATTTGTGTGTAAAGACTCGTTTTTTGTAACAAGCCATCATTAATATTGTATCATCTCTCTTTGTCCCAAACTCTTAAGTCTTAACAAATCCATCTATAAATATAATTAGACCAATTGTGAGATCATATTTAGAAACCAAGTGCGTCGAGGTCATAACGTATTGTAAAGGTTTATCAAGCTTATGAATTGTATACAAATTCATCCTATCATTTAGATACATCATTAAATTAAATGTAGATTCCTTTTATTGTTTTTTACGAATGTATTTACTTGATGATGTTTATCAAGCTTAAGAATTGGATACAAATTCATAATATCATAGTTAATTTATGTCTGCTAGCTATTTTTATATTTTTATAAACTAATCTTTCATGTTATGGAGCAAGCAACCACCACAACAATGCAATATAAAAAACAGCTGTGTTAGTAGATTAACCTTATTTTCTACTTTGCTGACAATTACAAGAAAAATATGCAGACTTATCTTTAGGGTCAAATTTGCAAGAAAGTAGAGAAGCTTTTTGCATGATAAAAAGAAAAAACTAACACAAATCACAGAGTTTGAAGAAAAAATTATCATGTTAAAGTTGTTTCTATGTGGGTAATTTTATCCTATTTGTTTGTCTTTTGTATAGTTACAAAATTTCATACACTTTAAAGATTTTTTTGATGAAGGTGAATGGGATTAAAAGGGACGTAAAAAGTACACAATCATGAGTACATGGAGTGCTGTCATGATCGGAGAACATACAGAA